AAGCTGTTCAATTTCACCATGCATACTTGCAAAGTGTATACTGTATGGATTAGCAAATATGTAACTGTGTATTTATTTGTGGTTTTACCCTCTATAGAATGGCTGCGTTCACAAAATCAGAGCCACACAAAATGTATTGCGACATATTAATATCACTGTTTATTTCCAATTTGTGTACAAAGTAAGTTTGCCGGAATTGCTGCCTCTTTGGATGGACAATCATGTCTACCAGAGAAGGAGAGGCTTCTTATCCTTCTCCGCCATGTTGCAGAGGCAGGTGAGAACAAGCAGCAGGTCCTTCTGAAGCTTCCTCGGTGCTGTGGTCATTATCAGCTTCCTGAGAAAGTTTGAATTGTTGTAATCCATTGACTGGTTGCTGTTTTCACCAGGCCTCTCCTTCAGGATCCCGTAAGCGTTTACAATAAATTCAGTGAACGCAGGGTGAAGTGCTGCTTTATACCCCAGCTGGTGCAGGCTTTCCATGAGGTTAGCATACCTCTGAGTGAGATGAAGCCGATAGCCCTCGTCTACCTTCCCTGTCAGCGGGTGCGCACTCACCTGCAAGAGGAAGTAAGGCTTGTGACTTCTTTCTGAGTCAAGTGGAATGTTATGGTCAGTTTTGGTTTCTAAATGACAAGTTGAGGTTAAAACTTTGCTCATGTGATGTGATTTACTATCTGTGCACTGCAACAACAACCAACCGATCCTGTTTTTGATGAATGAATAGAAGGCTTCCCTTTCTAACCTCTATGATCTTTTCTGGTATATTGAGCAGCGTGAAACCATAAAGCCTCCTGTGGCCCTGGAAGATGTGGGACAGAATCCTCCTATCCAGTTGGTAGGCAATCTCTCCTAGCAGCCTGTCTGAACCTGCAATAAAACAAATAAATAAAATAAAAAAAGTTTATTTTGGGCAACGGCATTGTTCTAAAATGTCTGCATGTCAACCGTCACTCACCTTTGACCTCGAGAGGAGTATCAACCTGGTTGTTTTGAAACTCAATGCCGTCTATGTGCATCGAGTTTTGGATGAAAGACTTGAAGTCGACCGGGGATGAGGTCCGGTGTTCATGTTTGAATTTAGTTTGTTGCAAGTCTTTTCTGAATTGTCTTTCATCGCAGGTGTTTTGACACAGACTAGATGGTTTTCTTCCTATGGGTGAGCAAACTGATGAAAACAACGTGAAGATATTATTCTTGTCATCCATCATTAATGACAAGCAGAGCGGATCTTAAAACATACCTTTATCAGAGAACTTATCCTGATTTTACTTGAACTGTCTCTTTATTTCTTATCATATATTATTGTGGAATTAATGTATTATAATAATGTTTTATTCTGATCTGGCTAATTTTCTATATTACTTTACAGGTCCCCATTTGATTAGAATTTGTTGATGAAAAAGTGAGTGGTAATCAGAATATATAAAAACACAATACTTAGGCCCACTTTAACAATTAAACACATTCATTTTACAGATCCTATATGTACTAACCAAATAAGAGATTTTTTTTTTTTTTTTTAAGTTACCTACTACAGTGCTTACATTGAATTACATTGTATGGGGGGTAAAAAGCATTACCACCATATAAATTCTCCACAACCAACCAAGTTAAAGAAATGCATTCAACCTTTACAAAATGTATCCCTGTAATTGTTGCTTACTTTGATTGTAATCCCTCTGTCCAAAAAATATGATTCATTTTATTATCTTTTAGAAAACTAATGTGAAAATGTTCAAAATCTCATCAGAATTTCAGCTTTTTGTTTGAATGATCTCATTACAAAGACACACTGAAATCAGTTAGCAGTAAAAAGGTTACTAACGTTATATATCTAGGTAAATTATTATATGCTATAAAAAAGCAGCTACAAATACAGTTTTTAACCATTAAGAATGTTTATGTTTGAAATCTATGATTGGCTATACTTGTAGGCTAACGTTACATGCTTACTGTATATCATGATAGGTACACAATGCAAATATAGTTAAAAAACCTAACCATAGCTCTAATCTCAGCCCAAGGTTAACAATCATGTTTTAACACCCACACAACTCTGAACTGTACCCTGGCTGCCATCTAGTGGTAGAGAAAAACACTCACAATACCTGTTAATTCCTCCAGGGTGTCATAGTTGAAGCTCTGCATCCTAGCTCTCAGGTCTCTGTTTTCTTTGACTACACTCAGCATCGCCTTCAACTGATCATTTTCCTGCCCGAGTTGTTCATTTTTAGACAACAAGTCAGCAACAGTTTCCTCCAGGTCCATAGTGGGGCTCCCAGTTTCACAGCTGAGCCACAACCAAACCAAAACTTGCTGAACGCCGGCAGAATCGCATATCAAATCACAACATGACAAGATTCTCTGGAGGGATTCTGTCAGGATTCTTCCACTTCATAAAAAACACAGAGATCAATTTTAGAAAAGAACCTTTTTATTAGGTTATTCTTTATCTTGGAAATAGCAGTTTGACAAAAATCCCAACTCAAGGCCCCCGTACTAGCTTATTTTAGGGCTTTCATACATATCAGTCTTCACAATGATGTAGTTTGCTCAGTTGTCATGGTGATGGCTTTGTTGACGTTCAAGTTCAGCAGCTGCTATACATTTGTTTCCCTTCTCATCCCTGCTGGTTTATACGTCTGACAAAACGATCCCAGCTCATGGTCCTCTTACTAGCTTTTTTCCAGAGGTTTGACTGTATAACAAGGCCAT